TCCCTGCCCCTGCGCCCCTCGCCATCAAAGACGGCACCCTCCTCTGCCTCCTCCGCCCCCTCCTCCATGGCCCCGTCGTCATGCTGCTGCCCGTCGCCCTGTTCAATTATCACATCAATTGCCGCGGGCCCCGCCGCGCGCCGGAAGCCAGCTGTCCGCGACCCCACGAGCCCCCGCAGCCCAGCCAGCCCCGCCGACACATGGGACCCCTTGGTTATGTGCGTGTGAATCCGCGGCCCCCAGGGCTGCCCATTCACTACTGGCTGCAGGCTGACGGCGAGGCGCCGCGGCGGGTCCTTGGCCCGGCCTTGAGGCTCTCGGGGGTAGAGAGCAGTTACCAGGGCCTGAGGCAGCTTGATGCCGTGAACGCTGTTGGAGAGCCTGCCGCCCGCATACGTGGTGAACGTGACGCGCTGCGACTGGGTGTTTGGAGCGTTTGCGTTAGGAAAGGGGGGGGGGCGTGCGGCAGAGGCAAGGGTGGGTGCACAGGCGGCGAGGCGTAAGGCAGCGGGGTCTGGAGACGAGAGGCGGGGCGTGCGCAGGGGGCGATTTCGGGGGCGTCGATCGGGGCCGCTGTGGGAAGATTGTCAAAGCAAAACTGGTTCGTGCTGCTTATGATGTGCCTGGTACACTGAAAGCGGCAGGCAGAGAGTGCCAACAGCAGCGGGCCGCCGCCGCCGGCCCCGGCTCACCGAAGCCCAAAAGGTGCCCACGGGCTCGCCACAGGCGTCGGCGTCGGTGCCGGCGTCGGCCTCTGCCGCATCGGCGGCCGGTTCCCACCGAGTTTGCGGCGGCGCCCTGCCCTCTGGCCGCTTCTGGGCTGGCGCCTCTGCGGACTGCTCACTGCTGCTGCTGAACAGGGCGCAGCCCGCAACCTCGGCTGCCGCGCCCTGGCCCCTCTCAGCGCAGGCCATAGGTGCCGACGCGTGCGGCGTCATTGTCGGGACCTTGGCTGTGGCAGCTGCCGGCAGTACATGCGGCGGCGAGCTGCGGGACGGCTGCTCGTGCTGGCTGTCGGGCGGCTTGCTCATGCTGCCGCTGGTGCCCGACTCGAGGCGTGGGCGCTTCGAGCCTCGTTCAGTCCCGCCCTCTGCTTCGACACCGCCGCTGCAGCCCGCTTCATCAGGAGGCAGATCGTTCCATACTTCTCCGAGTGTCAAGAAGGGCAAAAGTGCCAGATTACTGCGCATGATGGATCCTGGGTGTGTTCGTGCCGCGTGACCAGAAGTTCGTAACAGTTCAAAGCCAAGAACCGCTGAAAGATTAGCCCAGCTGCGCGATTCAGATCAGTGCCGAGTTCTTCGCACAGCATACGCACTCGAGGTTACCGTATCGTCGGTCATTTATCATTAGGTGAGCGGCCCGAGATGTATACTCAAATCATATGCATGCACCCACCACTTCGCGTCTGTAAGCATGGTCTCTGCATGCCAGCCACCGCATCGAGCTCGCCAGTTGCTACCAGTAAACCGCAGCATGCCGTGCCGGTCAGGGGCACGAGGCCCGGGGTGGGCGCACGGCATGCACGTGTATACCGTACCTGCCTTTGACAGCAGTGAAGAGGCCCACTGGACAGCTGTACAGCGCAAGCGAAGCGAACCGTTTGGCCGGTAATCACCGAAGCACTGCTACACCACCAGCACAGCACACGCTGCTCGGCCCGCGGCCCGCCAACACTCTTGCTTTCATCACTTGCACAGCAGGCTCGCAACGGCACCCTCTGACGGCAATAAACTATTTCACAATACCAAACCACCACAAGACTGGTTTCATACATCGCGTGAGCCCTCCAGCCAACACTCCGCGAACCCACGGCTGGTGTTGTCCACACAGATAGAGGCTGAAACCATCCAAAGGATCGGTCCAGCTGGCCACGTCCAGAAACACAGAAAGCCCCTGACGTCAGATTCAGCGGGGGTCGGTGCTGAATAGCCTTTCACGCAATGCATCTGGGGCTGTACCGCTTGCTCACCAGCCACCGTGACGTCAGCAAGCAACAAACATCACTTCTTGGTGAGTCCCCCTTCCGCGTCATGCAAGAGACGCTGTCTCTTGCAAAGAGACAGCGGTGGCGGGCCGGCAGTGCCTGACACGGGCTATCTGGAGCTTTTTCGGATGTGCCCGCTGCACGCAGTAGCCCCATTCACGCCTGCTCGGGGCCCAGCAATAATATGATGA